ATTGTATTCAACGGTGTAATGCCTGGATGGAGATCTGCAAAATCCCGAGTCCGTACGGTGACGTGACAGCAGATCAAGTGAAATGCCTTAATGACCGTTAGTTCTTAATTTATCTCCAAATCATTTCTGTGTTATAACCCTTATTTTATAAAATATTATGTTTTGGACGTTTTATTCATCGTTATTTTAATGATAACGTTATTAAAAGTATTTATTATTTGTAATTTATAATACAAACGAGTTTTATTTATGGTTTATGAGTAAATTAGCGAAGGATATCACTAAATTCTTAAGGATACAGGTAGATATTATTAAGGATACAGGTGGATATTACAAAAGGGTACCTGATTTCAGGCAATATAGCGTTGTTTCGGTGGAATTTTTACATTTTTCTGCGGATTTTGAGTGATTAAAGATATTTTTTAGCGAATTTGATGTGATTATTGAATGTTTAGAAGCTCAATTGGATAGCTGCGTAAGGAAATACGATGCCAGATTCTGCTACTCTCTGGTGGGCACGTGTGCGTCGATGATGGGCGCGGTATATAACGGTGGTGCAATCAGCAAACTGCCTGGGAATGTGCTGCTGTGTATCCAACGAGGTCAGTAATCTCTTGAATTTGTTTAGCTTTAATGATTAACCGTTAATCGTTTGTGAGTGGTGCGAAAAAATAGAGAATATTTTGAGAGATACAATTTATAGGGAGGTAAANAGGTAAATCATGAATAGATTTAAATTTGGGTGCATTTCAGTGGTATTTTTTGATAAATTTTGTTAGTTTCTGTTGTTTTGGAGATAAATTTGAAGAGAACTGAATTGTAGAGGATGTAATTGCGGTGTGTCGAGCCAAGCACGGTGTAGCGTTCTGCACGAAACTCAGTGAGGCTTGTGCTGAGTTGACCAAAATTCCGATGCCAGCATTCCAGCAAGGCCAATTGGTCGCTCTACCGGATGGTTTAGCGGAGTGCATATCGAAAGGCAAGTTTGGGGATTTGTAAATGGTTTGGTGGGATTTGGATAGATTTTGGTGTGAGCTGTTTGATGGATTTGTAAAGCGGGAAGATTGATATGATTTCCAAATGATTGTAAAGAGATTTCGGTGATTTTAACATCGTGAAATGTGAAAATTTTTCTCAAAATCTCAAAAATACCCCAAAATTTAAGTGAATTTTGGGTGATTTTCAGAGAATTATATCGCAGTACTACACGTACAGTATGGTATGAAATCGATTAAGAGATGGATGACTAGATGCAAGGTTACGGTATGGAATGGTCCGATTACGGTAGTGCAGAAGGAATGCATTCAAGAAGGTTAGTTAAGTCAAGAAGTCTGGGATTTGTTTGGGATTTATACGGAGTTTGGGATTGGGATTTATACCGAGTTGCCTTGAAATTACACCGGATTGAGGTGTATTCCGCAAGGTAAACTGGTGATTTTTTACCGGAATATGAAAGGTTGTTTTACCGGGATGGTTGTTTTTTTTGGGAGTATTTTACCGATTTGGAAGGGAAAAAAACCATTTCAGAACGACTCAAACCGAATCCAAAAGCGTTGTGCATACAGAAATACGGTGCGGAGTTCTGTCGTCAACTCGAGGTTGCCTGCTATCGCGTGAAGAATGTGCCATTCCAAGAGAACATGCTCTGCACGGTCTGCGAAATACCGCAAGTTATTGAGGAATGCATTGAGAAAGGT